GGGAAACTGACCTTGTAATCAGCATCAGCCACACAAGATCAGTTTCCAGAAGGTTTTAAATGTCTCCCATGCCTCTTTCTACTCATTCCAACACATATTTTACTGCTATGCTGTGTCTGGAATCCCTTGCAATAGCTCAAAGACCACACAAAACCATATTAGTGAAATCAAAAGGCTATAATTCAAGTTAGAAGCAGACTACAATCTCTCTCAGTCAGGAGAACTGCTGAGATGTGCTCACAGACACTACAACAGTGAGCCTTGAGGGTTTAGGCCTGTGTTGCAAAACTCTCAGTCATGACAGTTAAGACTCTTTCCCACCCCCAAGATGTCCAGCAAACTTGGATAGTGGCTCTTAGCTCCATTCCCTGGAAGTGTCAGTACCAAGGTTAAATCCATCCTGTTTGGTCTTTGGTCCTCTGCTTCAGTCATGGCTGTTGCTGTTAATGTAGGTCTAGCTGGCACAAAAATCTCTGGCCCCAAAGTTCAGGCTCTGTGTCCCTACTTCCCCTTTGCTAGTGGGGAGGTTCTATCAGTCTGCTGCTGGATCTGCTCAACTTAATGGCAAGACTAACCAATCCCCTTGTACATAGGCTAACACACCCTTTTCACATATTCCAGCACATCCACATGACAAAGTCAGACAATGGTTAGGGAACCTGTTTTAAACAATAAATTCTTAATGCCATAGAGAAAGACTTTAGCTCAAACATTTGCAGTGATGGTGATACATTTTGTAGAAGTAAAGATTTCTGATCAATGTTGTAGGAATGAGCGCTGCAGTGACTTAGTTCATAAAGACAGCTCATCATACTGTAAATTCCGCTTCTGATTTAGTGTAATAGTCAAATCCAAAACAAAGCGACATTTTTCTCTTTCTCCTTCCCCCTCTCTTTTAAATTTAATACTAGTTTATTTACAAAGTTAGAATACATTGCTTTTCACTAGTTCTTTCTCATTTTCTTCACCTCCCCCCCATCAAATTATGCAACTCTATTATTACTATTACTCTCCCTGCCCATCCTCATCCCTCTACTTCCACCCCCCACTTCCTGGATGTTCATACTCATTCTACAATAATTGTTTCATACTGTATTTGTTCTTATGGGGCTGAGTTTGTTCACTCAGCATAATGCTCTCCAGTCCCTCCCAAGTTAGGTAGTAATTTACAAAATCATTGCTCCTGTATGCGGCGTAGTTTTCAATTGTGTGAATGTACTATAACATCTCAATCCATTCAACTGTGCTTGGCTATCTGTGCTCTTTCCATGTTCTTGTGATGGTGAATAATGCTGCTATGAACATTGGTGTACAAGTCTCCACTTGTGCCTCATTTTCTCAGGGTATATTCCAAGCAGTGGAGTGGCTGGGTCATATGGAATTTCTATGTTCAGCTTTCTGAGGAAGTGCCAAACTGCCTTCCAGAGTGGTTGTACCATTTTACAATCCCACCAACAATATATAAGAGTTCCTATCTCACCACATCCTCTCCAACATTCATTACTTGCTCTCCTGTTAAACTTTGCCACTGTTACTGGAGTGAGATGGTATCTCATTGTGGTTTTGATTTGTATCTCTCTTACTACCAGTGACTTTGAACATTTCTTCATGTGTCTGTTGGCCATTTGATTATTTTCTTCTGTGAAAAGTCATTCTATGTCTTTTGACTATTTTGTAATTGTGTTATCAGTATTTTTCTTGTGAAAGCCCATGAATATTCTGCAACCTTTCATTATGAGACTCTTGTCTGAGATGGTATTATCAAATGTTTGTTCCCAGTTGTTAGGGTTTTTTTTCACCCTGTTGGAAAAAGTTTTTTATGAGCACAAAGATTTAATGTTTAGAAGGTCCCATTCATCAATTTTAAAATGTAAAAATAAATTCTTAGGACTTTAATAAAGTCAGGGGTTTTATTTGGTTAGTTTCTTAAATCACATGCTTAATTATTATTTATCCTACCAATGTAATAATGGTCTCTACATTGGATAAGAGAGAATTCCACTGCTTAGGGTCAAGACTAAACATACCTGTTTGGAAATAGAGAATCAAAATGGCAAGAATATTGAGACAGAATTTCTGCTGAAATCTGACAAGCTATTAATTTCAGCTTGTTTGTGGAGTCAGGGAACACTTAGAAGGTGAAGCATCATTGAGAAACAACTTACATTGCTTCTTTTCAAATGCCATCATTTTCTAGTGGCAGTCTGCCAGAAAGCTAGTTTTTTTCCACTCTAAAGCCCAGATATCTTCAAGGGAAATACTAAGTAGAAAGTAAATATTAAGGTGAGTGAAGAGTGTTCTAACTGTACAATCCCTTGCATCATTCCCAACTCAATCTCTAGGCATACAGCAGGAGTTCTCCTGTAAAATATTGTTCATGCCATTATTTCTACATACAATCTTCTCCTTACCTGCCTTACCAAGTGAGATTCATATTCATCACTTAACATTGATGGTATTTGTAAAGTCTTTCGGAAGACTTTCTAATTCTCCTCAGAGCTAAGTTAATCACTTTCCCCTCTTCTATATTCATACTCTCCTTAAAGATTACATATTCACCTGTTTCCTTTATCCAAAATGAAAAGGGATTAGATACTTAGTGTGCTCTACGTATCTCTAGTCTCTATTTCTCCAGCACTATACTTACTAAACAGTAGATACATAATTTATGTTTCTTAATTTGAACAAACACTAACATAAATCTTATAGCAGTATTTACTCTCTGCTTGGTATGTGATGCTCAGAATTTATATCTTTGAGTTGTGGTATTGTAGAAGAGTACTGAATATGCCATGGATTGCCAAAGAACAAATCTACCTTGGAGGAAATTCAACCAGAGGGTAGAGCAGGGAAATTTCATCTCACACACTTTAAGCATGTTGTCAAGAGGGGCCAGTCCTTGGAAAAAGACATCATGTTTGGACAGGTAGAGTGTTGGAGGAAGAGAGGAAAACCCTCAACAAGACAGACTGACACAGTGTCTGTAACAAGATGATATTTGTTGACTAGACAAGTCAACCAGGGCAAAAAAGGATTACTAACAATTATGGTGGCATTCCAGGCTTTAACATTGACTCTGATAATAGTCTTTCCATGTCAACATTCGTGAACCCTGCATAATAATTCTCAGGCTTAGAAGAGACTCAAGTTCATAGGGTCCATGACCCGTGAACTCATATCTGCCCAGAATTTCTCCTACTCAAGTGAATTAATTCTTGAATTTTGCTCTGGTACTTACATTTGTCATTCCTTTTGGTATAAATTTTCACTTTCACTACTTTATTGTCATGTTTATTGTGTTAATTGAGAGCTGCTTATATGAATTGGCATCTGTAGTGGGCTGTGCTGTTAACCCAAAATTGGTGCCTCTCTGGTAATTGCAATCCATCAGGACCTTCAAGGAAAAAGGAAAAAAAAAAGATGGGCAGTCACCTGCAATGTGATTTACAACCTCTCAAAACCTTCTGGAGGATCAGCTATGAGTCAGTTCTGACTTGATGGCAATTAAGTTTTTTAAGATTTTTTAATGATATTTGGATTTACTAATACCTTAACATTTTTAAAATTAACCTGTTAATAATGTTATGTTTTCCCTCTTTACCTCCTTCCTTCTCTATTTTCCTACACACACACACACATACACACGTTGTTATGTATTGTTGAGTTGGAACTGACTCATAGCTACCCTTGTGACCCTCCAGTGGGTTTCCAGAGGCTGTAAATTACATGAGAGGAGATTACCCATCTTTCTCCCTCAAAGAGGCTGGTGATGTGTGCCACTTGCCTTTCTCTCTTTCTCTCACCCTCTTTTTCTGTGTCTCTCCCCTTCTACACACATACAGAGAGAGAGTTTGATTTTGTTTTTATTAAGATGTGCCATTTAAGGAAGCAAGCTGGCTAATCCTACTTATGCTACCAAGAGTAATGAATAATGAGCTCAGGACTTCTGAATCACAATCCACACATCACAAAAAGACTATGATGTGTTCAAACGTGCAGTGAAAAAAGCCTTGTAACAACAGAGTTGATATTGCTAAAAGCCACACCCAACATATTATCATCAGAGTGGCCACTTTACATTGCAAACTGAAAGTCTAGCCTCAAATGATGCCTGAAGTTAGACTGAGAATCTTGACCTTTATAAAAATGATATCTTAGTATGAAAAAGAATGTATACAACTTTGTAAATAAACCAGTGTAAATTAAAGATATTTTATAAAAAATTATAAAACTTGTACTCAGAATATGCAGGCAAATAATCAACAATCTGCATACCACTCCTGTCAACACAACTCACCCACCAACCCACATAGTTGATGAGATTAACTCAGCTGTACTTACTGGGTCTTTTTAGAGATTTCACTTGTGAAGAAGGGAAGGCACCACCTGAGGTATTTACTGAGGAAGATATCTTTTAAAACATTGTTGAATGTGCCCAGAAACTGCCCTAATACCCACTTTTAATTCTAGACCTAAGTAGAATTAAGCCCCAGGGAGCCGCCAAAAGTCAGTAATAAATCGGGACTTAGGAATAGAAAAGACATTGATTTTTCTACTGCATGCAATCAGGAGCCTTGAGAATATGTATGGGGATGGCATTTAAGGATATGGGATAATGATGCAAGGAACATAAAATTGGATCCATCTGAGTACACCAATTTGGGCCTAGTAAATTCTGAAGCACACAGTCTTCATTTAATGTTTCCACTTGAGAAGTTAGGAAAAGATATATTTCATTTGTTTGGTTCCCTGAAGAATGGATTATTTAGTGGCCTATACTAGATCAGGTCCAAATATCAGCCTTTCTTCAGTATACTGTACAAAAAGGTATCTATTCAAGGACTTAAGTGGTATTTTAGAGTGAGTTTATTAGATAAGGACCATAGCACCACGTGAAATGCCCTAAGCATACACCTTTTACAACAATCACAAGGAACAATATTGTAAAGGAAACCCAGCATCCTTGAAATCTGCTGTAATTACTGTTTTATGTACGTCAGACTTTACAGTGGTCACTGCCCTTAAAGAAGTAAGACACCGAAGTACACTGAGGAGAGGTTCCTACCCTGAGGTGGTAGAAGCCAACCGGCTGTACTTAATCAATGAGGTGGGTGTGGTTACCTTTACAGGAATATCGAAGCGGTAGTCAGAATTATCTGACTTATGGATTTATAGTCATGACTGCTTAGTGATGGTGTCCCTCAGAATTAAATAGAAGATCTACTAGATATCTACCTGATTTGTGAGAATGGAAGAATTCTAAATCAGGTGAGTGGAAGACAGAACAAAGATCCATAACTACTCAAGTAATTCCTAGGCTTGAGCAAATTTATAGATTCATAACAGCTTGAAAGAAGGAACAACTGAGCCCCTTTGAATCACTGCTAAAATATATATACAGTTAATCTTTCTCCCACTCTTCCTCAAATGGATCTATAACTATCATTTGGGGAAGAGGAAATAAGCAGAAAATTTTAGGACTGTTTGATACTGTACCTGAATTGACACTAATTCTAGGAGACCCAAAATGCACTGTAGCCTACCAGTCAGAGTAAGGGCATGTGGATGTCAGGTTACTAATACATTACTAAAGTCACAGCTCTATTATCTCACAGTAGGCCCAATGGAACAAAAAACTCATCTAGTAGTGATTTCCCCAGTTCTAGAATACATATTTGATAGAGACATACTAAGCAACTGGTAGATGCTATATTCTATAATTGACATATTAAGGGTTATTATGGTAGAAAAAGCCAAATGAAATATACTGTGAATCCCTCTACCTAGGAAAAGAAACCTAAACCATTTGTATAGTACCGGATCTGTACCTAATTTTAGAAAGTGTTTCAGAATATAATTTATTTTTAATCATGATTTTAAGGAAAGTTTACAGAAAAGCTGGGTTTTCATTCCTTCGTTGATGTACATTTTCCTCCTTTCACCTCCCTTCCTCCTCCCTCAATTCCCTTGTAATGCACTTTTTATTCCAAATTACTAATTGTCATACATAAAATGCCTGATCTACATTCCTTTCAGACAATCTTTCCCCTCATCTGTTCCAAAGGAGTGTTCATCATCTATCCATTCTTTTTCTGTTTTCCCCTCTGCTTCTCTATCTCATGTCAATCCTATTTCATTATAGCAGTATTATGCACTGTAGGTCCTTTTGTGACCGATATATGTCATTTAGCATAATGTTTTCCAGACTCATAAGTGTTATATGTTGTTCATTGTATAAGTTTATTGTTTTTCAGTGCTGCTTGACACTCAATCATAAATATGTACCACAGTTTTTCTATCCATTTGTTTGCTAATGGGCACTTGGGCTGCTTCTATCTCTCCATCATTGTGAATAATGTTGAAGTAAACATGGGTGTGCATATGGTTATGCCACAGCTCTGATTAGAGCATATTCCCAGTAGTGGGATAACTAGGTCAAATGGTATTTCCCTTTTCAACTTTTTGAGAAAGTACCAGATGGACTTCCACAGTGGTTGTAACATTTTACATTTTGACCAGCAGTGAATGAGAATGCCAATATTTCCACAATCTAGCCAGCATCTGTTGTGTGCTACCCTGTTGAATTTCGTTACTGGTCCTAGGGTGAGACAATATGTCATTGTTGTTTAGATATGCATCTCTCTGCTTCCTAAGGATTTTTAACATTTCTCCATGTATTTGTTGGTCATCTGTATTTATTCTACGGCTAAATGTCTATTCCTATCTTCTGCCCATTTTGTGACTGGGTTGTTTGTCTTTTTTTTTAGAAATTAATACTCTATTAGAGCTGTCATTGCCAAATATTTTATCCTAGTCCATGTTTCCTATTCACCCTGCTATAAAAGTTTTTTTTTTATGTGCACCGATATTTGATTTTTAGAAAGTCCCATTCATCTACTTCATCCTCTGCTGATTGTAGGTTTCTAGTTAAGCTTGGAAGTCTGTTCATACTACAGATTAGGGACTCTAGATGTGTTCTTAGTTTTTCTCTGATAAACTTTATCTTTGGTTTTAATCCTTGGTCCCTGATCCACCTTGAGTTGGTTTTTGTGTATGATGTGAGGTGTAGGTCTTGCTTGCTTCTGTTTTCTAAATATGGCTTTACAATTTTGCCAGCATCAATTATAATTTATTTATTTTTTTATTTTGGGGGTTATTTTTTCCCTTTTAAAAAATATATTCGTTTACTTAAAATTCAAATACGTGATTTTCAGACCAGATTCTTCCAATTTCCCTCACCTCTCCCCCCACACATCAAATGGTACAACCCCATGATTAATCCCCCCAACTCCTCGCACAGCCTCATCCTTCTACTTCCACCATCCCTCCACATTGGATCCTCATACTCATTCTACAATAATGGTTTTATACAATATTTGTCCTTGTGAGACAGAGTTCGTTCACTCAGCATAATGCTCTCCACTCCTTGCCAAGCTAGGTAATCATTTACAAAATCATTGCTCCTGTGTGCTGTGTAGTATTCTTTTGTATGAATATACCATAAATTCTCAGTCCATTTGATTGTATTTGGATATCTATGCTGTTCCCACGTTTTTGCGATAGTGAATAATGCTGCTATGAAGATTGGTGTACAAGTCTCCATTTGTGCCTCAGTTCTCATTTTCTCAGGTTATATTCCAAGCAACTGGGTCGTATGGAATTTCTATATCCAGCTTTTTTTTTTCTTACACAAACTTAGGATGTTTATAAAAAATGAACAGCTGCAAATAAACATACATATTTCTAAAATAAGAGACAAATATATTAAGAACTACTTGATTTTTGTTACATGTATTAATTATTTTTTTA